GTACACCACCTAGGACAATGGGTTCCTGGTCTCTGACTACCACTGTGACAATACAAATAACCTTCAATGGAGTTAAGCCAATTTACAACAGCTGAGAATCTGGCTCATAAATATTAACAGCTGAAGTCAAATGGAAAAGTTAATTCATCCCATACTCCTTCTCCATGCTGATATTTTGGGGGAAAAAATGGAGAGTTATAGTTCCAATGGAAGAAAATGTCTGCATGCAAAATAGATTATTTCTGATTGTGATCTTGCTGAAACCTGAAGAAGAGCTCTGTGTAGCTCTAAAGCTTGTACCTTTCACTAACAGAAGTTGGTCCAATAAAAGATATGACCTCATCTACCTTGTCTGTCTAAAATATATCAGGCCAAAATAAAGCTGTCCTCTGTTATAATTACGTAAATCACTGAAGTCAACAGTGTTATTTAGGGTTTTAACAGGGTAACTGGAAGTGCAATCTGTCCCATTATATTATCAATATGTGAAACTGCAATTACCTCTTTGAAAGATAACACAGAACCTGTCTATCCTCTTCCTTTATCCTCATTTGAACTGGATGTTTTACGCAGCACCAGATGTATGTTAAATTGCAGAGTATGTTTGTAACCTCTGTTGTTAAGGACTGATTTCTGTTTGCTTGACTCCTTGGAAACTACTTAGTGTACTAATGTTAATACTGACATAAAAGGTAAAGTATTAGGATTTGCAGCAAGTAGGAAACAAGAGATGCAATGTGTTTAAAGGGAATTAAAAAAAAATCAGTGATCTCCCTACTGTTCAGATACATAGGGAGAAATCCTGGCAAAACTCCCAGAAACTTTAATAGGGCGAAGAACTCATCCATAGTTTCTAAGGCCGAAAGGGACTATTAGATCATCTAGTCTGACCTCCATAACACACGCCATAGGCTTTCACCCAGCCGTTCTTGCAGTGGAGGAAATGTGTTCCTTTCTATGTGAATGAGTACTGCATTCAGTGTTGTAGCTGTGTTGCTCCCAGGATACTAGAGAGACAAGGTGGGTGAGGTAATATCTTTTAATCAGACCAACTTCTGTTGGTGAGAGAGACAAGCTTTCACATTTCCATGGCGTTCTTCTTCAGGTCTGGGCTAGTTTCCATTTTAAACAGCTACATTCAATATCACCCGTTCTTGTAAGCAGTGTTGTAGCAACAATGTTGGTGACCTGAAGAAGAGCCCTGTGTAAACGCAAAAGCTTGTCTCTCTCACCAACAGAATATATGACTGAGCACTATTAAGCCAAACGTGGTTGAAGCAGAGCTTGTCTCACAGAACGCAGTTTCAGGAATTCTACTAAGAGCACTACTTACAGGTCTGTGAGTGTCCCACAGAACTCTTTTATTCAATAAGCATCATTAGACAATATATGAATTTTAGAATATAAGTATGAACAAATAAGAGTTACCACTGGCCTAATAGGTTGCACTGGAACTAGTCCTCCCAAACCTTGAAAACTCATTAACACTGACTCACGCTCTCAGGATAGTCCCAATCTATTGAAAAAAATCTTATTCCAGTCTATCACATCTTCCTCTCATGTGCTATGGTTCCCTTTACATAATAGTAGATCAGAGGAACCAGTATCAGTCACGCTTGTGATCTGTCTTTTTCCATTTGAAGAACTTTAACTTCTTGATGCCTGTGATGGGCAATACTAGACCCTTTGAGGCCATCCAGAAGGCTGTGAGGTCCTGTCACACCCCATCCCAGAGATGAACAGGAGAGAAGTTCTCCAAGTGGCCTAGAGTGGTTGCAAGGAGGCATCCAATGAGGGAGGCCACAGGGAGCAGCCAATCAGGGCCCAGCAGGCTAACATAAAAGGAGTTGCAGGGCTAGATAGCCAGTTCCTTGGTGGAGCTGGAGAACTGTGGATGGTGTGCCTGGCTGGCTAAGGGAGCTACAGGGCCTCGGACAGAGCAGTACTGGCAGAGACCTGGAGGAGAAAGAAGGACCTCTGGGCTGGCAGCTGGAACTCAACCTGAACAAGACCATGAAGCAAGGTTGAGAAGAATGTGAGCAGACTGCAGTGGTATCAAGGTTTGGTGGCTGTCCCAAGGTTTTGTATTTTGGTCGCATCCCTTATCTCAAGTCTGATTTGTCGTTAAGTTTACCTCTTTTTTTGTTTTTATTTAAAGAGAGAGGTGTTTTATGACAGGTATTTTTAAAGAAATACTCTCTTTAACATGAGCTTGTTATTCTGCTCTTCCACATCTGTTTGTAATGTTTCCAATTAAGTTGCACTCCAGTTTGTTTTATAATAGTAATAACTGAACTTTTCCAAAAGGAACTAGGTGTCCCCAAGGAATGATACTCAACTGCCCCCCCCCCCATCCTCTCCGGTACAAAGTGCTTCTTCATTCAGAACATTTTGTAGTGCTTTTATACATATTGCAGCTCTGGCACTGTCTGTGCTATTAAAAGCAGCATCACATAATGTTCTCTCACTCAAGAGGGTGACCCAGAGGATCACACAAAAGCAGAGTTGTGCATTTAAACGAAGCAACTCCGGCAGAAATATTTGTTTCGTGGTGGAATCGGGGATCCTTCAACACTTTGCGTTGATACTGCAAATGGCAAGAACTGTCAGCAACGTTTTATTCTTTCAGTTTAAGCTACCTTCTGTCTCTGAGCAAGTGTAGTATGAATTCCAGGTAGGATCCAGGGGGCTTTCAATTACTCTTATGATAATTGGCAACAGTAGCTTCACTAGCTTCATGAAGCTATGAGAATTTAAACCAACTGAGGACCTGAACTATAGTTTATGGTGCCTCTCACTCAAGGAGTCAGGAAGGAATTTTCCCTCAAGTCAGATTGGCTGAGACCCAGGTGGTGGGGGGGGGGGGGGTTTCCGTCTTCCTCTGCAGCATAGTGCCTGGGTCACTTGCATGTTTAAACTAGTGTAAATGGTGGCTAATCTGTAACTTCAATTCTTTAAACCATAATTGGAGGACTTCAGTAACTCAGCCAGAGGTTAGGGATCTCTTACAGGGGTGGGTTCTGTGGCCTGCAATGTGCAAGAGGTCAGAGAAGTAGATCACGATGGTCCCTGCTGCACAAAGCACCTCACAAACGTTAATGAAGCCTCATAACCATCATTGTGCAAGAGGAGGCAATGGGGTAAAATTTTCACATGAGCATACATGATTAGGAACAGAAGTCCCATTTTCAAAAGAGACTTAAGACTCTGAAGTACCTAAGTCCATTGAATGTCAAATGGAGTTAGGCTCTTAGGGCTACATTTTCAAAGGTCCCTAAACATGTTTATAGGTGAAAGATGCTTACAGTGGAATTTTCAAAAAAAGCCTAAAAGGATTAGGCATCTAAATCCCATTGATTTTGATGGGATGTAGGAGCCTTACTTGCTTAAGTGCTTTTGAAAATTCTACTAGGCACCTTTAGGCACCCAAACACCTTTGAAATATCTGACCTTAAACTGCAATTTGCGCCTTTGAAAATCTCCCTGTCAGGTTCCAAGATTCCTAAGGTCTGGTCTAAACTATCCCCGTTTGCTATCATAGTTGTATCAGTCAGGGTATGAAAATGTGATCCCTGACCAACAAAGTTATGCCAGCAGAAGTGTTGTTGGTCGTCCATCACTGACGATACTATATTGTCATAGTTCTCATCTATGGCTACGCATATGAGGAGAGATGTCAGAACCACTGCACTGTAGATCTTCAATTTGGTGGAGAGACAAATGTGGTGTTGGTTAAAGACTTTTGGTTGGAGTTGGCCAAGGGCCTGGCTGGCTTTGCTAATTCTGGAGGAAAATTCCTTATCAAGGGAACCGTCACTTGAGATGGTGCTGCCCAAATACTTGAACTGATCCACAATTTTCAGCTGTGTGCCTTGGATGAAGATAGCTGGCACTGTGGCTTTGAATGGCTGGTTGGCACAAGATCTCTGAATTCCTGAAACTGATCATAGAATCTAGAATCATAGAAGATTAGGGTTGGAAGAGACCTCAGGAGGTCATCTAGTCCAACCCCCTGCTCAAAGCAGGACCAACCCCAACTAAATCATCCCAGCCAGGGCTTTGTCAAGCCAGATCTTAAAAACCTCTAAGGATGGAGATTCCACCACCTTCCTAGGTAACTCAGTGATGACCTGAAGGTCGGCCATGAAGGGGATGAGCAACATGCTGTGGGGTGTGGAGAGCATGACAAGGCACTGAAGATGTCCTGGTCACCCACTGCACCCAGGAGGGTCCCCAGCCAGAATGATGCTTTGTCCTGCTTATCATCTTATCGAATTTCATCATCATTAACATTATATCACTAACCCAAGTCCTGCGGCGATGGTGGCGTGGCGAAGTGACTGGTGGAGATGAACACTGGCAGTCATAGCCACAATGCTGCACGTAGGTGGCCCTGAGACTGGCGGTCCTTCAGCTCAGTCCCCAGGGCAGCGGAGAAGTTCAGCAGCGTCCTAGCTGTCAGAACAGCACTTTTTAGGATAGTACTGCTCACCCTTTTTTCAGGGAAGGGGCTAGAAAAGGTGCCCTAAACATTGCCTGTCCCATAACATGGCCAGACTGCCACAGATGGCAGATCATCCTACAGCAGTTAAAAAACAATAAAGAAGAAAAGAATCATTCTAGGAGCATGAGCACCCCTCCCTAGTATTCCCCACCAGCAGAAGTACAGATGTGTAGATCTATACTATGTAGTATAGATGCATTTCTACTGGCAAAACTCTGCTTTTAGTGGCATTGCTTGTTTCACTCAGAGGAGGTGAGGGAGGGACTGGAATACGCTACATCAGAAAGAGGGCCATTTTGCTGGAAAAATCTGCATTGCTGGAAAAGCTGAAAAAAAAGTTGATTTTGAAAATTACATTTTTTAAAAATAAAACAGTGAACTAAAAATAATCCCTGATTTAAAACAACAAAAACAAAATAGCGTTCAGTTTAGAAAACCAAGCTAATAACACCATGTTCAATTTTTTAAAACACTTTTTTTTTAATGTTTTCTTTTTCTGCCAGTTCGTAGCAATGCAGACAGCAGGGATTAGCATACTGTAGTCACTGACATGAAATCTACTAGAGTTCTCAGTGACTTCACACATTCTCTTTGTTTTGATTATTCTGTCTCAGTCAAACAAATATAAAGCAGAGTAGGATTTTTCTTAGATACTCTGTGCCTGATCTTTTTTTTAAGTTGGACACGTGCCCATCAAAGTGCTGACCCAAAGTCCACTAAAGCCAATGGGAAAACTCCCATATGATTTCAGTGAGTGCTGAACCCCCAATCTGTGTGCCTAATACCCATGTCTCATCACCATGACTAGGCACACAAGAACTGGATCCTAATGCCCTTCCGCAAGTGGAGTACTTCTGTTGAAATCAGTGGGCCCTTGAGGAGTTTAGTTTTGCTTGCTAAGAGTAGCAGAATCTAGCCCCAACTGAGTAACCGCAAATCTAGATTGGCACCATTAGTTATTTGCATGTGCAATTGCCTAATATAAAGACGCAGTTATGGTAACTGGTCTCCAAAAACAAGACACGCAGTTGTGCTTGCATTTTGGTGACGTACTGCATGCCTAATTTAAAAAAAAAAATCTCATCCTGTTTGCTTCCTACAGGCCAGGTTGCAAGAGCCTATTAATCATGCTTGCGATGACTTACTCACATGAGTAGTCTCACTGAAATCAATGATATTACTCATGTGAGTAACTGCTCCCCAATGCCATTATGGGCTCGCAATCTGATCCTACATATTTCTCTCTCGTAGGAGTGTTTTATGATTTCTTATATTAATTATAAAGCTTACAAATGTACATATAGTTAATACACTCATAGTACATGGCCTAAATGACTAAAGAGACTGACATTATGGTATTCATTTTTAGACTGTTAGCTTGAATCCAGTGAGAGTAGTAACGATTAGAGGTATCGTATTCAGAGTAAAAGTTAAAGTACTCATAGTTCACCCAGTTTTAAGTTTACAGGCCTTCCTCAGTGATAAATACAAAATGTCTTTCATCAACCAAGCTTTCATCACAGTTTGGATACAGATTTGTTTGCGCTCTCTGGATTCAGATTGTGTAGTGCGTTTTGAATTTCAAGCTGCTCTTGATTATATGATGGCAGTCAAATAGCTGAAATCACATGGTATCTATTCCCTGATTGGTTGGGCCTAAGACTTGCTTTTGAGTGCATCCTTTGAATCATATTCTTAAATGAAGCAGCCATGTTATGTATGCTCTTTCTAATCCAATCAAGGCAAAACTAGTATGTCTCTTATTATTCTTGGGACTTTAGCCCTGGGTTGTCCTTAGGCACCACCATCAAGAAGTTTATAAACTGATGATAATATTGCACATTTCTTGAGCTGGTGGAGCTATCATTTGTAATGTATGGGTGACATATCTTATCACCCATGTCAATCGTCACCCTCCATCCAAGATGATTAGAGACTCTACCTAGTACCATCCCTCACAAGGACATGCCATGACGGGAGTATGCCTGCCATCCACCAAAGAGCTTATAGGGGGGAACAGGTCATCATTTATTCACTCTAAAGACAACAGTAGGTAGGTAAATGCAGATTTTCAGTGCGATGGTCTGCTGCTGGCCTTTTGACTGTGGGGAAAGAGGATCAGAGAGCAGTGGTTAAAGTATCTTTATGTTTTCCAAGTTAGGAGAAGCATTTTGATGCTTTTGATGGTACACTCACTTTTATGCCATCTGTAACATTTCATTTTAAACAAAAAAAAATTGCCTAGTCCATCAAAGCACATTGACATATTTTGTCAAATTAATTTAGAAGAGAAAAGGTTTACTTTGGAAATGATAATCTTGGCATGAAAATTATTGTTAATTACATTTTTGGTTTTTTTTAGTGGGGGGAAAAATAGGTTTTGGCTTTCAAAAAACAAACTTTTTTTTTACCCCAAAACAAAGGTTTTTGTTTGTTTGTTTTGCACAAAAAGTTTTCAAAGTGAAAATTGATGGGATTTGGTTTTTCATTGAAAAAAATGGGGAAAAAATTACAGGAAATGATTAAAAATGTCAAAGGACTCCCCCCCCCAACATTTCACTCACACAATAATCACCATTTTTCCACCAGCTGTAATGATTATGGTTATTCAGGGGACTGGCAGTGGAAGAGCTAGCCTTTGAGATGCACAAGTCCCACAGCCGTTTGATTTTGGGCATCTGGAAATAATGAGACTTCCAGTTTAACAAAAAAGTCTACTGCTTCATTCAGGAAGAAAAGAACAGGCCGCTAGGACCTACCGCCTGAAGCTTGGAATGGGAAAAGGGAACTGCACGATTCCTCCTCTTCCAGCGGTCTACTTCCTCCTTCTTCCCCCCTGTCTACTTCCATACTTTTTTATAATGTAAAATGAGTCAGTTAAATTTGAGGTGTGTCCTCAAGTATTGTCTCACTGGCCAGCCCCCAAATCCCAAGATCTGTCCTGTCCATATCATAATCTGTTGCAGAAGATAGCTTAGAGATCCAACCAAGCTCGGGACCCAGTGTGAGAGAGCCTGTGCAATCACATAGTAAAACACAGTTCTGGCCCGAGAGAGTTGATAGTCTAAAGAGGCAAGACAGACAAAAGTTGGGAGGAGAAACAGGATGCACTGACTGCATCTACACTGTGACCTAGGGGTTGTGATTCCCCAGCTCATGTACAAATACTTGTTAGCACTCATCGAGCTAGTGTGAGTATAAATAGCAGTGTAACTGTGGTATCCACAGTGGAGGAAGCGGTGCAGGAATATTCACATTTATTTTTTGCTATACTGGCCCAGAACTAGGCCTGAAACTGGTGGGTAGGTACTTTGGCATGGCTAAGCAATGCCTTCACTGCTGCTCCTGGGGCTACACTGCTATTTATACTGGCTCTTGTTCTCATTGAGCTAGCTCGAGTATGTTCATGTGAGCAGGGAAATCACACCTGTAGCTCGTCGTGTAGACATACCCACAGAGAGGTGAAGGGTCTTGCCCAAGGTCATATGGCAGTTCCACGCTACAGCCAGGAATAGAACATGGGTCTTTGGAATCCCAGGGCCTTGTCCACTGGACCCTGCTGTCCCTCGTGAGGGCACAATCATGGTGGACAGCAACTGGAGAGAAGAAAAGAATCATTTCAAAGATTTCCCTAATATTGTGAGGATCAGTCATGGTGCCAGGATACAAAGGGCTTCATCTCTGTGCCATGCTGGGGAAGTTGAATCCTTCAGTGGCTGGAAATGATCAGCCATTATTTGACAGCTGTTTGTTGGGTGACGTAAAATGGATATGCAGTATAGTTGTAGCTGTGTCAGTCCCAGGATATTAGACAGACAAGGGGATGATCTTAAAAATATTACCTCACCCACCTTATCTATCCAGTGGATTTATGATATCAAGCCACATCCAAGTATATGGGTATCTACAACACAAAAGCCATTTGTAACCCTAAGCATTCTTGTATTCACAGCTTAAACACTACTGAACACAGCTTAAACACTACTGAATAATATTTGTTCAAAATATGCTTTATCAGTGTATGAAAACTAATAGCATGCTGGTTATTAAGATCATTATAAAATGTATGTATTAACTTTACACATGAAGATATTAATTCCCTCTGTACAGGGGTAGCAGAGCCTTCCCAAAAGTGGGAGGGCCAGAGCCCCCTGCCCCCTCCGTGGTACTACCCTGCCCCACCTCTTCTGCCAGAAGACTGGCCAAGCTGGAAGGCAGAGTGGGCCAGGAGCTGCTGACTCTCCACCTGCCCGGGGTGGGGAGGCTGAGAACAGGTCCTGGCTTGTGTCCCCGCCCTGCAGGTATCCCACCCAGGACAGGAAGGTCCACGGCTCCCCACAACTGCTCACCCGGCTCTTACCCCTACCTGGCTCCAGTTTGGGGGGCTGCAGCCCGGCCATATTGAGAGCTGCGCAGGGCAGGCAGCTGTGGGGAGCCGCACACTCGCCACTTGCCCTGAAGGGGGGCTTGCGGGGGAGGGGGGGAAGGGGGGAAACGTGGGCCGGGGCTGCTAACAGCCTGCACACCCTGGGCAAGTGGAAGGTCTGCAGCACAGTGTTATTTCTTTTATCATTTTTAACCGTGCAAATATTTGTAATCTAAAATAATAATATAAAGTGAGCAGTGTACACTTTGTATTCTGTGTTGTAATAGAAATCAATATATTTGAAAATGTAGAAACACATCCAAAAATATTTAATACATTTCAATTGTTTGAGAGTGCGATTAATTTTTTAATCGTGATTACTTTTTTTGAGTTAATCGTGTGAGTTAACTGCAACTAATCAACAGCCCTACTTTATACTGTTCATCTGCACAGCAAATGCTTTAATGAAGAAAAAAATCATCAATTAATATTCTCAGAGATTTGAAACTACGGGGCCGATGTAGGAAACTTTAATCTTTTATATACCAGCAAACCATCTGAGAGGTCTCATCTAGCACAGAAGCAGGACACCAGTTTCACCACAGTACTGTGTATAAAGAGAGAGAGCAAAAATGTCAGTCATTTGATTAGACAGGACTTGCCCTGGCTTCTCATCCAACTTTTGTTTAATATTAGATAAAACATACAACACACACAGAGAGCGACACAGTGTATTATTGCGGGATGCTACAGTGAGCAAATGTTATTTCCTATTATCTGGCCGATCTTCAGATAACTGGGGCTTTCTGAATAAACTTTGTTTAAAAACATTGCATGGTCCACTTTGAAATCTAATTCCAAAAAAGGTCCCTGTGATTCATCCTTCCCAGCTCCAAGGCAAACAGTGTGATTGGTAGCACATTCATAATTCAACATGGTTAAATGCCAAGGGCCGAACAGAGAGCACCCTCCTAGCCAGCATGAGCAGAATGACATTCATGGTTGATTCAGCTCCTCACAACAAGCTGTGTAATTGGAAAAGCCAAGGGAAGTGACCCCTCTCTCTGTGTCCTGCTGATGTCAAAATACATTCACATCACTCTGACAAGTGGCCAGTTTGGAAGCTTCCTTTGAATAGGAGGCTGGAAGGAAAGAGAGCAACTTGTAAGGAGCCTGAAATAGATATCGTGCAGGTAGAAAACATAATATACAAAGGAGGCTTTTAATGATTTGTGTTTGATCTCCAGAAAGGGGGCAGCAAGACAGGAGGGGGAGGAGGAGAGCTGCTTAGTGTAAGTTGGTATCTTATTTACACTGGGTGCTGTGCACAGAGTTGTACAATCAAATTTAATATATTCACTAGACCCTTGTGGCTTTTGTCATGGAGGAAAAAAGTCTAAAATCTGATGGATGATGATGGATGAACCTCAAAAGGTGCAGAGGCTGGGTTGTGATAAGCGTCAAAAAGTTCTTATCTGAAGCTTCATTTAGGAGGGGGCTGAGATAGGGCCATCCCTAACATTCGAGGGGATTCAGATCAGGAGGTTTGGTGAGTTTTGTGTTATGAGAAACAGGTTCCCACCCACAACAGAGAGCTTCAGCTAGAACCTCCAAGTGCCTGAGCTATGCAACAGTTTGTATAACAGGATGTGGGATAGTCAGCACCAGATTAGAGGGCAGAACATGGTGACAAAACATAGGGAAACAGTGCTGCAGCCCTGTTTGTAATGACTCAGTGGTATGAAATAATGGTTTGTCACTGAAAAGCTTAATGGATTTCTGTGCCTTATTGACAGAACCAGAACATGGTGTCAGAAGTAAATGTGCCCCTAAAAGGACGAAGTAGCCAGCAGGTCTGATTGTTACATAATCAGTTAACTAAAGACAAAGCTCAGTCATGGGAGCAAGCCTGATTCTGGTTCCTGGATCCATGGACATGGAAGGGGATGTCTTCAACAACTGGCTGTTCTTCAGAGAACATCCACATGACTGAATGAAAAAAAAAATCTAAAAGAATAAGGGCTGCAACACTACTGTCAGTGATGGGGAAAGAAAGCCACATGCTCTAGTAGCCTCTGGGTATGCCACCAGCAGACTACAGAGATCCCTCCAAAATGTTGGGCATGCTCCAAAAACATTTTGAAATTACAAGAAATGTTATATATGAACACTGCTTCTTCAACAAGTGTGAGCAAGCATCTTCAAAAACATTGACCATTATAATGCCAAGCTGGGCAAAATGTCAGATTAATATGAGTATGGCATTTTGAAAGAGGAGTTGATATGAGTCATAAGAAACTAAAGACAAAGGAACTCGAATGAGAATGCTCAGAAACCCTCTGTTAACACTGGCAGAGGCCACAAAAATGTGCAAAGCAAGCAAATAAGCTCTTGCTCAGTGAAGATAACCACACATGAAATTGTTGATAAAGTGCATATGCTCAAAAACAAAAACAGAAATCCACAAACTAATAATAATAATAATAATAATAATAATTAATAATACACCTGCATAAGTACAGTGATGAAGCAAGTGCACCTCACAATGAAAGCTGTGGGTACTATGGGACAAGAGGCAAAGAATGCAAATGCCCAGCTTACAGCACTATTTGCAGAGACTGTGGAAAGAGGAATCATTATGCATAAGTATGCAGACAAAAAAGCAATGGCAAGCAACACACCATATAATAGAGGTGAACTGAGCAGCAACCCAGATAGTGAAATCTTTTACATACATGGTATCAGAACAATACACTCTAAGAAAACAGCATCGTTTAAACTCATATTAGCACCTTTCAAAGTAACATTGAAACTGTGGCACAAGCAAGAAATAGAATGCCAAATAGACAGCGGAGTGTCTGTAAATGTAATGGGCAACACGGACTTCCTCAACATCGTGCAAGATGGATCAGCAAAACTGCAGCCACGCTCTGCTAAATGGCAGTGCCTCGATGGCACCCTCGTCACGCCACTAGGGCAATGTGTGGGACAGGCAGAACACCCAGGAAAGGTGTACCAGCTAGAACGTTAGGCTGGGAACTCTAGACAGAAACCACTTCTCTCAGCCAGTACAAGTGAACACACAAACTTTGTGCCATTAAACCCTTCCCCTACAATTCATACGATAAGCTCAACAAACAAGAGGAGCCTGCGACTCACTGAGGTGCCATACGTGGGACGCCTCCGAAGGCCTGCACCCAGATCCAGAAGAGGTGAGAGTAATACAGCAAATGCCCAAACCTTCACATGCCTCCAATGTGTGCTATTAAGACTACAACATTGCCACTCAGATGTACACTATAAAAAAAGAAACCAAAATATATATAGCAGGTTTCCTACCCAGAGCAGCTCCGTTACAATAATTACAATAATCTGACACAAACTGCTGCCAACTCTGACGGGCAGAAGGGCTACATTATAACAAAAGAAACATAAAAATAAATATAGCTGGCTTGATTAATACTTTCTATTTCCTGACAAGGACTACAGAAAGTCAGCAAGCATACACTACAGGATAAAGAGCTGCAAATTCTGGCATCGGATATTTTTACAGGATGGCCAGACACATGCGAAGAGGCTGCAGCGGCCACTTGTGAATATTGGAACTATTGTGATGAGTTCAGTGTGTAGAACAACATTATATTTAAAGGCAACCAAATACTTAGGTCTCTCTGACTCAATCTTTAGCTATATCTCGAATATACCGCAGCCTCACTGGGATAGAAACATGTCTGTGAAAAGCTAGGGATGTAATATGCTGGATGTGGTATTACTGGGGATTTAAAAGAATGAATAGAGTCTCCAGTGTGTGAAAGCTGAAAGCTGGAGGAGGCTGTTGGTTTTAGGCTAGACTAATATATTGACCTGAATTTAGATCTTCTGTATATATGTTAAGTGTGTATCTAATAAAGACGGGTTTTTTTTTAGTTACTGTCAATGAACTCTTAAGATTAGTGGATTACTTGAATATAAAACAACACATGGTACCAGGAGTGGGGTAAGTGATAAAAAGAACTGGAAGAAGTTAAAAAAAATGAGGTCAACATTACTGAGAAGAGCAAAACAAATTTGAATGAAATAGGATGGATTAATTCCATATTTCTAAAAATGTCAAGAAAATGCTGCAGAAAATTGGAAAAGGGTTAAAGAAGAATTTGATTTATTTTTGAGGGCATCAAGATCTGCTCATAAGGAAGATGAACAAAAGATTGGCATAGTTTTGAATATTGCTGGTACTGAAGAAATTTCATTATATAATTTATCTGAGTTGAATGTTAGAAATTAAGTTGACTGAGTTTATCTTTAAACAAATTGTTTACCAAAACAGTTTACCAAAAAGAAACAAAATATTTGAAAGATTTCAGGTTTCAGAGTAACAGTCTGTATTCGCAAAAAGAAAAGGAGTACTTGTGGCACCTTAGAGACTAACCAATTAATTAATTAATTAAATTGGTTAGTCACTAAGATGCCACAAGTACTCCTTTTCTTTTTGAAAGATTTCAGTTTCACTCAAGAAATTAAATAGAGGAAGAAACTTTTCAATCATTTTAAATATCTGTAAAGACAAGAAGTCAGATGTGATTTCCAGAATCTCTGAGTCAATGATAAGAGATCAAACTGTGATGGGTATACAAGATATCAGTGTAAGAAAAAGACCATTCAAAGAGCCAGATCTAAATCTGAGAAAAAGCAATGAGAATTTGCCAAACTGCTGAACTTAATCAACAGTGATTACACATTTTAGTAGAAAACAAACTGATGTGAATATAGATTTAATAAGAAAAAGTTTTTAAAAAAAGGCAATGGAGGAAAATGGAGTGAAACTGCTAAAATTAAAACATGAGCATATGTAATAATGTTCTAGTTGTGGAAGGAGGCACCACCCTAGACTATGTCCAGCATATGGTCAAATCTGTCATATCTGCAAGAAACAGAATCATTCTGGAAAAGTTTGTAAACAGAGAAGTCTGGAAAAACTTAAATATATTTAGCTGAAAACTTACAAAAAGATTTACCTATGTTTCTTCAAGAAGGATACAAGGGAAGGTATATGTCTAAATATCAGTTGAGTTTTTATCAAAAGAATTCTTATGACAAATTCCATATTGCTTTTATTTTTCCTGTGGCCACATCCCTGTTTACCTGGACAAGGGGCCTTCTTGTGTGTGTGCAGTTCCTGGAGTGCAGCATATGTTCATTGCGACCTACAAGCTGTGAAGACAGGAGAGGAACATTAAAGTACATTTTTTTAGCGCTCTAGCAATTCATCCATGTTTCTGTGCATGGTACAATTGAGTTATTTATCACTGTTGCATGCCATGCCATAAGGAGGGATTATGAGGACTTCTGTCTTTAAGTCTGTGTCTTTCCATAACAACAAAGGTGTGATTTTTCAAAAGGTCTCCATGCTGGACTAATGCTACTCCCATTGCAGTTAATTGTAAAACTTCCAGTGGCTGTAACAGGAGCAGAGTTCGGTAGGACTGAGTGCTTTTGAAAAATCCCACCTTTCATCAATGCTCATAGTTTTGTAACAGGTATCTACAAGACTCTGCCCATTTTGGTTATAGTTGCCACAGTTGACTCTGTTACCCAAAGCTCTTGGTAACTTTTACTCTGTGTGAGGTGGTATTAGGAAATAAATCAGGGGAGACACGGCCGGCCGACCGATCGATGGTTGGCTCAAACAGGACAACGCAAGAGTGCTTTCACTTAAAGCTAAACTTTACTTCATCTCAAGCACTTACACACGTCTGCAACAGGTTAGTAAAACACCCCCAACCCTCAATAGTTACTCAACTGATATTTACATATACCTTCCCTTGTATCCTTCTTGAAGAAACATAGGTAAATCTTTTTGTAAGTTTTCAACTAAATATATTTAAGTTTTTCCTCAATAGTTACCGAAGCTGGGTGTGGCTCTCGAGTGGCACAGCGGCAGCCTGTCTGCCAGTGGGGAACACAAGATGCATCCAGGGGGAGAGTCCAGTCCTGAAGAGTCCCCCTTACCTCAAACGTTCCTCCCTTGTTTATACATTAGTAATAGAATGACATGTCCCTTAAAGAAAACTTGTCAAGCAAGCAGTTTCAATGGTCAGGCAAGAGGCTCCTTCTGATTATTGATTAACCAGGTCTGGGTTTTTCCAGAGTTTGCAGCCTTGAGGCCCTGTTAGACACATTCCTGAGGGCACATCCTGCTCCTCTAAAATGCATGTATCAGCCACTTCAACACAATTCTTATCGGGGGTGGGGGGGGTGTCCAAGCTGCCCTTTCTGTGCTCTCTCCCTTCCCCCGCCCCGCCTTGGTCAAGCTGAGGCTGTGACGTGGCCAATTTACAGCCTGCTGACTCGGCTGCTTTTAGCAATAAGCCATAGTGGTTTCAGGTACTTTACTGGTTTGCCAAAATCTCCCCATACAGACTCCATCCCTTCCTTGCTGCATCCATAGATTTTTGGGACAGGCTTAATACATTTGATCATAACTCCCTATAATGGCTGGCCCCAGTGACTTTAACCAGCTGCTAAGTATTGCTAACAGAGTGCTCCTTTAGCCCAAGCTGTAGCGGTCAGTGATTTGGGGTGGGGTTAAATATCCTGGGTTTGAACTCACTGGTGCCCATGGTTTGTTACATGCCAGTCTCTGGGACCGATCATGTACCCTTCTGACTGTGTACAGTTCTGGGTGCATGCTTTGGTTTTGCACACTTCACAGCACTAAAGGGGATGCTGAGGTTCAGAGAAAAAAGGAATAAAAGGGAAAAGTAGTAATGGGGTGGACTAAGAGCAAGGGAGGGAGATTTATAAAAGGCTAGGGGACTGTGAGCGATTGTTGTACATCTAGGGGAAGCCAGTTATTCTGCAAAGATGTCTCACAATGGTTCCATTGTTAAATACAAGAATTCCATTTCTTTTACCAAGTGTGATGCACTCACTGTACATGAAAAGATGATTTTTGTATTGGGTATTTTGGTTAATTTCTTATGAAGTCTGCAATACCCCGAGTATGTAGACACTATCATTTGACTATAATAGTTGAAGAAATACGGTTTTATGCTTCATTTATTTATATTGGTTGTAACGGTGATTGTAAATGTTTAATACTTGTTAAGACTGTTTCTAACATCTCATTTTAATTCCAGTGCATTTTCTTAGCTTGTCCCCATGGTCAGAATCATACAATAGTCTCCTTGTGATACCCACCTCCTTAGAAATCATTGCTCTGAATAAATGTGAATTATAGCCACAGTTGCAGAGCCATCACAAAATATTGATAGGAAATCATTGGGAATCTATCACACACACACACACACACACACACACACACACACGTGGATGGGGGTATTGAAGCTTACTTCTTGGTGGTAGGTTATGCCTTTGATTTGCTATTCATTTCTTTTAACTGTATGTTTTCTATAGTTCAAGATATTTCCAGGCCCTCAGATTTTTTTGGGGTGGGGAGTGGGTTTGGCATTTTCTGAATGGAAGCCCAAATTGACATTTTTGACATTTTATCTAGAGCTGGGGAAATAACTCAGTGAATAATTTATATGACCAACTTCATTTCTTTCTCTCTCTTACCACAGTGCACACAAACACTTTATTTATTATTATTATTATTTATTATTATTATTTACCATATGCATTATCTTAGCATCTAAAAGACCCTCCCCCCAAAAATTAGGATCCCATTATGGGGCTCTTACTCACAATAAGATACTGTCCTGCCCTAAAGAGGTTACAACAGACCGAGATGAGAAGTTCTGAAAGGGGAGTATTTTTATTATTCCCATTTCATAGGTCAGGAATTGACACACACAGAGATTAAGGAACTTCCCCAAGGTCACACAGAAAGTTTGTAGCAGAACTGGAAACTGAACCCTGATCTCCTGAGTCCCAGTACAGTATTTTAAATGCAATCCCATCTTTCCTGTCAAGATTATGACTTTCTCAAATGTATATGTTGTTCAAACTTCTTAGTGACATAATGTCTATGAATAATGTTTTGGCTGCACATTGTTTGTAAGCTGTTCATTGTAGGATCTTTCTATCTGTTGTTGATCTAATCCTATCACAATGTAGATTATCTGTGATTATCTCCTTGTATGTATGTGTATAGTGTCTAGAACACTGGGTCCCTGATTGCAGTTGTGTCATCTAGGTGCTATTGTAACACTAATAATATACAACACAGTGAACAGGAGTTTGGGGGACAGGGCAGTGTGATGGATAATTGCATTAAGGACCTGATCCAACTCCCACAAGTGTCAATGGGAGTTTTGCCCATTGACTTTAATGGCAGCTGGATCAGACTGGACATTCTGGTAAAAATGAATTTCCTTCCTCAGCTTCCAAGATGAACATTTGTTTTCCCCCACATAAACTCATAAAAATGGCCATACTGCACCACACCAATGGCCCATCTGGCTCAGTATCCTGTCTTCCAGGAGAGGCCAGATGTTTTAGAGGGAATGAACAGAACAGGGTAATTTTGAGTGATCTATCCTTTTGTCCAGTCCCATCTTCTGGCAGCTGGAGGTTTAGGGAAGTCCTTTGCTCTTGACTTGAATGTTACCAAAAGCCCCCTGTGCCAAATCTTCTGACTGAGATCAAGATAGCTAGAATCACAGTAGATAGCAGGCAAAGTGCAAAAGGGCCATACAGCTCAGGCAAACAGTGTATTGCCCAGATGTTTTAATTTTTATCTGTTTTCTTTCAAGTTCAGAAAATCAAAGAAATACAACAGCAGAGAGGCTAACAGAGGGAGTTTGCCCGGGGAGAGCTCACCGAGGCTTTCATCTTGCAGGCTTCTCTGAGTAGTTACTACAACACCTGAGGAAGCTCATAGAAGGAAGGTAATATGGATGGTGAGTGTTCAGCTGTTGTTACCTGCACAGGATTTGCCATGTTTGTCTTTCTTCCACAGGACAGAAGCGACTTTGTCTGTACAAAGTGCAAGCTGATCTCCATATTGGAAGAGAAGGTTCAAGGTCTGGAGCAACAGGTATCAACCCTGTGTTGCAAAAGAGAAACTGAAGATTTCCTGGACAGACGTCAGGATATGCTTCTACGGGCACAAGGTTCTGAAGATTCAGAGCAGGCTGCACTGTGGGGATAGAAGGACAGTGAAGAAATTTGGCATCATGTGACCTCCAGAAGAAGAAAGGGGAGCGTCCATGTACCAGCAACGCAGATACAGATAAGCAACTGTTTTCATGTTCTCTCCACAGGTACTAATGCGGAGAGTGGACCAGATGATACGTCTGAGGGAAGGGAGCAGAAGGAGACTCCACTGATTGGAAGGCATGAGATGCACAGTCCTAGAGATGGGGGTTCCACGACCACCACTCCCAAGAGAAGAAGGAGGGTGGTGGTGGTCAGGGACTCCCTCCTCAGGGGAAATGCTGCCCTGACTGGGAAAACCGAGAAGTCTGCTGCTTGCCAGGAGCTAGGATTCACGATGTGATGCAGAGACTGCCGAGACTCATCAAGCCCTTGGATCACTACCCTTCCTGCTTCTCCATGTGGGCACCAATGATACTGCCAAGAATGACCTTGAGTGGATCACTGCAGACTAGGTGGCTCTGGGAAGGAGGATAAAGGAGTATGAGGCGCAAGTGGTCTTCTCGTCCATCCTGCCCATGGAAGGAAAAGGCCTGGGTAGAGACCGTCGAATCGTGGAAGTCAATGAATGGCTATGCAGGTGGTGTCGGAGAGAAGGCTTTGGATTCTTTGACCATGGGATGGTGTTCCAAGGAGGAGGAGTGCTAGGCAGAGACGGGCTCCAGCTAACGAAGACAGGGAAGAGCATCCTCGCAAGCAGGCTGGCTAACCTAGTGAGGAGGGCTTTAAACTAGGTTCACCGGGGGAAGGAGACCAAAGCCCTGAGGTAAGTGGGGACATTGGATACCAGGAGGAAGAACGAGCAGGAGAGCGTGAGAGGGGAGGGCTCCTGCCTAATACTAAGAAAGCAGGACAAATAGTAAGTTGTCTCAAGTGCCTATACACAAATGCAAGAAGCCTGGGAAACAAGCAGGAAGAACTGGAAGTCCTGGCACAGTCAAGGAATTATGATGTGATTGGAATAACAGAGACTTGGTGGGATAACTCACATGACTGGAGTACTGTCATGGATGGATATAAACTGTTCAGGAAGGACAGGCAGGGCAGAAAAGGTGGGGGAGTTGAATTGTATGTAAGAGAGCAGTATGACTGCTCAGAGCTCCGGTATGAAACTGCAGAAAAACTTGAGAGTCTCTGGATTAAGTTTAGAAGTGTGAGCAACGAAGGTGATGTCGTGGTGGGAGTCTGCTATAGACCAGGGGGATGAGGTGGACGAGGCTTTCTTCTGGCAACTAAGGGAAGATACTAGATCGCAGGCCCTGGTTCTCATGGGAGACTTCAATCACCCTGATATCTGCTGGGAGAGCAATACAGCGGTGCACAGACAATCCAGGAAGTTTTTGGAAAGTGTAGAGGACAATTTCCTGGTGCAAGTGCTAGAGGAACCAACTAGGCGCAGAGCTCTTCTTTAGCTGCTGCTCACAAACTGGGAGGAAGTAGTAGGGGAAGCAAAAGTGGATGGGAACCTGGGAGGCAGTGACCATGAGATGGTCGAGTTCAGGATCCTGACACAAGGAAGAAAGGAGAGCAGCAGAATACGGACCTGGACTTCAGAAAAGCAGAATTTGACTCCCTCAGAGAACTGATGAGCAAGATCCCCTGGGAGAATAACATGAGGGGGAAAGGAGTCCAGGAGAGCTGGCTGTATTTTAAAGAATCCTTATTGAGGTTACAGGGACAAACATCACAAAGTGCAGAAAGAATTGTAAATATGGAAGGCGGCCATCTTGGCTTAACAGTGAAATCTTTGCTGATCTTCGACGGCATGCAGGAGTGAAATCAGGAAGGCAAAATCACACCTGGAGTTGCAGCTAGCAAGAGATGTTAAGAGTAAGAAGAAGGGTTTCTTCAGGTATGTTAGCAACAAGAAGAAAGTCAAGGAAAGTGTGGGCCCCTTACTGA